GCAACCCCCCCCTCCCCCCCCCCCCCCCCCCCCCCGGTAGAGAGGCTGACATTTTCAGCTTGGGCAATTGCATTTAATTTAGGATTACCAAAATTAAGAGAAAGAACTTTGTGGAAACTGAAAATTAGCTCACATTTAGAACTTGTTTGGCTTTTAATACTTGAAAAACCAAATGGGACTGTCCCCAAGCCATATGGCAATATGAATCAGAGAGATACAGCATGGACAAATGCCTGGAAGGTTAGCTACAGTAAATGGGGATGATTATGCAATTATTCAAAACGGGGGCTTTAGGACTGCCGTTCCAGAACACACAAGAGCTAAACTTATAACAAAGGAATTCCAAATCACTTTAATATCAGTCTCTTGTTAAGACGTTTATCTTACAGTTTGACAATATTCAAAATGCCTAAGCCATGGAAGAACTCAAATACAGATCCAGTGACTTTTATTTAAAATCAGCAAAATTTCTTTCTACTGCTAGGAACCTGGACTAGCTAATATGTACAAAAGCAGTGGTTCACAACCTGTGTGTCTCCACCCATTTAGGGGTCAAATGATTCGCAAGGGTCGTATATCAGATATACTGTGTATCAGATATCTCATTATGATCCCTAACAGTAGCAGAATTACAGTTATGAACTAGCAATGAAAATAAGGTTATGGTTGGGGTCACCACAACATGAGGAACTGTATCAAAGGGTCACAGTGTTACCAAGGTTGAGAACCACTGTACAAAAGGTATGGAACCCTAGTTAACAAATGCTAAGATTAGCAATTGATTCACTAAAGGAAGGGAGCACAAATGAGAGGGAAAGGTAACTCTTCAAGTGAAATTGCAGAGAACCTAAGCCAGAAGTCACAGCCTTCTGGTCTTGCTCCTAACACGCACTTTTAAGGAAGGACCAAGGAAATCACTGCTATATACAAGTAAAACAGAGTAGTGACTCCACTGTTAAAGCATTTAGCCTACTTATCCCGGGCTAACTTCCAATACTCCATGTAGCTAAGGATGGCCCTGAGCTTCTGATCCTCCTGCTCCACCTCCCAAGTATGTCACCCCTCACACTTTATGTGGTGCTAGGGATCAAAGGAGGCTTCTTCACATACACACAAGCACTCTACTGAGCTACACCCTTAGACCAAGATTAAACTGGTTTTAATTTAACAAGTTGAAAAGTTAAAGTAGAGGAGGTTTATGGAAGTACTTTATACACATGTACTTGCCCAGAGCTAACGTCTGTCTGTTCACCCTCAATGATTGATTTGTCAATTGTACAGACCACCCCCCATACCTCTTTCTAAGAACTAGGTAAGATTTCAAGTAGCAGAATAAATGTAATTCTTCTAAACCTTCATCACCAATTAAAGAGCTGTTTGTTTTGCTCAATCAACCCCAGCAGACACATTAACAAGGCTGTAGTCCTGTAGGTCTCCCCGGGCTTAATGGAGTAAAACAGTAGTTCTCCACCTTCCTAATACAGTTCCTCATGTTGTGGTGACCCCGAACCATAAAGTTATTTTCATTGCTACTTCATAACTGTAATTTTGTACTGTTATGAATTGTGATGCAAATATTTGTGTTTTCCAATGGTCTCAGGTGACCCCTGTGAAAGGATCATTAGAACCTGATGGGGGAAGTACTTCTGTGTATATTTATCTTATTGATTGTTTAATAAAGTTCTGTTTGGCCAATGAGGCAGCAAGTTAGGCAGGACTAGGAGTCAAAGAGGATTCTGGGAAATGTAGTAGAGAGGTGGTGATCCAGGCCGGAAGTGACATAGCAAGGAGACTCATTTGAGCAAGGAGAAATAGGAAGTGTCCCTTTTTCCCTTTACCTCCTCCAGTGGTGGGATGTGAGCCACCAGCAAGGAGGGACGCCAATAAGGTGTCCAATAAGTCTTATAAAATATATAGGTTTATGATAGTTAAGACTGAGCTAACAGATGAGAATCCTAGTCATTGGCCAAGCAGCTTTGAACCTAATACAAGTTTCTGTGGATTCATTTGGACCCAAACTCGGGCGGGCAGCTGGCATAAAGCGCACATGTGGCGGTGGGGCTCCGAGGCTTTTGTCAGAAAGATTTATCGTAACAAGAACCCCCAAATGGGTCGATACGCACAGGCTGATAACCACTGGAGTATAGTTGCTCTTCCTCTTTCACTACATAACCTGGGACACTGGCACAGGAAAAGGGCCGGTCTATGGCTCCCTCCTTCCCTCATCACCTTTGCTCTCTGAAATGATTCATGAGAGTATGAACTAAAGAGCTACCAGCTGTAGCATTGCAGTAGCTCACACACCTGACAGGAAAGAGGGCCCTGGTTCCAACCACAGCATGACAAGAAGAAAGACTGTCACCTGCTATGTGGCACAAAACCTACACAAGGTCTAGGCCTGGTTTTGCCAGCTAAGGTAATATGAAACTTTATGTTCACTCACCTACCTAGCTACTTCACAGGATTGTCTTAAAAGTACAGTGAAATAATATATGTTGAAGCCCTTGGTAATCAAATTACTGCAAAATATCAAGTATTATGTCAGGGTATTTAGGAATAAAATCATTTTAAAATTCACTTATTGAGAGCTTATATAGATGTGACTTGAAACTCGCTTCTAGAATTTGCTGTCCAATATGACTTTGGATTTAAACAGGAATGTCCTATATTGGCAATGCCAAACACGGTAGACGCTAACCACACGCTAAATACTTGAAATGTGTGGCTAGCATAACTGAAAGACAGAACTGTAGATATTATTTAGCTTCAATTTTCTTAATGTTCAATAACTACATATGACTGGGAGCTGCTGTGTTAACAGCAAGAGTCTGGCATGATAAGAGCTGGGAAATCTACTTGAAGCTCCAATGTCTGTGTCAAGAATCACAATATCCAAAACCTAAAGACAAAATCGTGGGAATCAATTTGCAAAACCATTTGTGTTCCCTTCTATACTAGTTACACTGATTATGTTCAATATATGTTACAACTTAAATCCAGAAAGCATCTGCCATAGAAATTAAGGTATCCACAGATGAGTAGTCAGAGGAATCAGGGAAAATAGGACTGAATGGTCTCCATGATTCCCCCCTTACTTCATGCAAAACACACACACACACACACACACACACACACACACACACACGGTGGGGGTGCACAAATTCTCATTTCCTGCTATAGTCTCTACTCTGGAGTCAAACAACTGGAGGGAATCTCTATGATCAGAAGTTCTCTGAAGAAGCCATATCTATGTTAAATATCCTGCAGACTGATACAGCAGACAGACATTCGTGGTTATGAAAAGATGGACTGCCACAGATCTAGAAACAGCCAAAATTATCTTGGGTTATTGTTGACACCCTTCATGGTCATGTATCATCAGACACTGTTTCTGAGAGTTTTGGAATGTGTAGTCCTAACAGATTTCCAATTCTAACACTGAAGATGTAAGATAGGTTCAAAGCCCTATAATCCATTTGATGTCCCCTCAACATATTTTACAAATACATCGATTTGTGACCTTCTTTGGTCCTGTGGCTACAAAAGTTGAGCTGAGTTTTTTCACAAAGAAACAATACATGGAAACCTTAACCTGTATTTCCAGACCATTGGCACTCATGTTTGGCTTTGAAAAGGCTCTCATCTTTCCTTTGAAGTAACAGCTATGTTTTGTATTGACACTGAGGTTACGTAATTCTCAACATGTCGCCACACCCAGAAACTTTAAGTAAATTTTATGTTTAGTAAACCCAAGGGTGCGGTGCCTTTAAAAACAATATACCTAATATAAATCCTACACTTTTGGGGATCTTTCAACTTTCTCAACATTTAGCACAGAATTCTCTACACTATGACCCCAAAAACTGTTGCTACTAAGCCCTCATTTTCAACCAGGTGCAAAGCCAACGCCGCTTGTGGGGAGTTATTTATCCTTAAACCATCCTGTAAAGGCAACACTGTTACTCTAGGTCTACAGGGACTGAAGTTAAGTCAGTGCGGGTTGAAACCCTACCTTACCTAATTCCCACTAGGCAGGCGCTCCTAACTCTTCCCTAGTGGAAGGCAGCACAAAAGGCCAGTGTGTGCTAGCCTTGCCAGGGGAGCAATCACAACGGTAAGGTCGACAAGCGCCCTACACCGTCCTAGCCAGGTCCGAAAACGCTGGCGTCATGAGGCGGAAGGGAGCCCAGGGCGGAAACGCAGGCCGCGGGACGCCGGGACCCACAGCTCTTCGCCGCGCCTCACCTGCTCCAAGCGCGCGCAGACACGCTCAGCGGCCGCCCCCGCCCCGCCTCTGCGAGCATGCCGGGGCTCGGGGTCCACTGAGGGACGGCAGTTCCCGCGCGGACCCCACAGACCAGCAGCCAGCGGCGGTCCAGGCCACGGAAAGCGACGGAGGCACAGGCAGCGCGCAGGAGTCGGGCGCCCGGAGCGGCCGCCATAGCCCGGTCGGAAGGTTCCGGCTCCTGCGATGTCCTGCGCAGTCCAGAGGGTCCCGTAGGTCCCTCGCGTCCGGGTTCGAGTGGACTACAGTCCCACGAACGCCCAGCGTGTCCTATAACCCGCGACCGCGTCCCGCCCCGCCTCTGCCACGCCTCCGTGGGGGCGGGGCCAAGCACGGCTGCCTGGAGCCGGGTCAGAAGTTCACCTTGAACCTTTTCTGCTGTAGGATCTGCACTCAGGAGCAATTGCTTGTCAAAGGTTATCCAAAAAGCCGCCTGGTTAGCTGAACCGCCTTTTATCCTACTCCCTCAAAACAAAGCAAAATACTGCAGTTTCCAACACCTTTAGAGTTCAAGTTAGAGCAAAGGGGGTTCTAAGTTTTTCCTACCCAGAACAGCAGAGAGATTTTACAAAGTTTTAGAATGCCAATCAGCATTTTTATAAAGAGAGGCATAGATAAAAGCATAATCTCATAAAGAATAATTCGTTATTTAGGGGTGATGAAATAATGCCCGGTGCAGATAAAACTACTCTGCCTGGACTGACAAACCGAGTGTGTAAAACCCTGAAACTTAACAGGAAACTTTTTTTTTTCTTTGATGAATAATGGCTGGTAAGTTGTGAAAGAGTTTTTGAGGTCAAATATTCAAACCCAAGTCCTATGTTGATCAGAGGGACCTTGGGTAAATTATTCTCCGGGATAACAGTTTCCATAACTCATGGATAAGTTGGCATTCAGGGCCGTTGTGGAGGTTAGGTGAATAAGAGCAACCAAGTGCGTCACAGACCATGAGTGGTAAATGCATGGTCTTGAGCATTCGTGATAAGATGCTGAAGGACAGAGCACATGTTGCAAGCAAGCTGAACATAGAAAAAGATTACTTGAATATTCAAGCTGGGGTTGGAGACATAGCTAAGAGGTTAAGAATACTTGTTGCTCTTGCAGAGAACCTGGGGTCAGTTTTCCAGTAGCCACAGAGCAGTTCACAACTGTCTGTCACTCTAGTTCCAGGAGATCCAAAGCCCTCTTCCAGCTACCTGTGGCCCCAGGCATGCACATGGTGCATGTACATATATTTAGGCAAACACATTTGGGAGGAAAAGGAGTTTTACTCAAGAGGCTGCAGATATGGCTCAGCAGTTAAGAGCACTTCTGCACTTATAGAGGACCTCAGTTTGCTTCCCAGCACCCACTATAGTTGATTCCCAACTGCCTATAACTCAAACCTCCACAGGAATCCACTGTCCTGACCTCCACAGGCACTCATATAAATAAATCTTAAAAAAAAAATCAGTGTGAACATGTCTCTTCAAACATTTATTACTCTTATGTGAACTGTAAAACTCCATCTAGTTTTTTGAAATGTACAGTGGGTTATTAGCTACAGTTAACTCACCGTGGAACAGCACGCCAGACCTGACTTAAACATCACAGTATGCATACTATGTACACATGTGTGTGCATATATACATACATAAAAATCACATGAAATCCCATTAGTACTTCCGGTTTTTTATGTGTTTGTTAAAATTATAAAGAACAGAAATTGGAGAGATGGCTCAGCAGTCAAAAATGAATGCTGCTCTTACAGTGGACCTGAGTTTGGTTCCTGGCACCCATGTTGCGTAGCTCACAACAACCTCTATTACCAGTTCTAAAGGATCAGATGCCCTCTTCTGGCCTCTGTATATGTATACACACACACACACACACACACACACACACACACACACACACACAGAAAGAGAGAGAGAGAGAGAGAGAGAGAGAGAGAGAGAGAGAAACGGAGACAGAGACAGAGACAGACAGAAACACATGCACATAAATTTTAAAAATAAAAACAGAAATCTATTGTCTCACAGGTTTAGAGACTGGGAAGAACAAAATCAAGATGGCAATAGGTTCCGTGTGCTTATAAGAGACCAGTCTGCTTCTGAGATGGCACTTTCTTGCTGTGTCTTCCCATGAAAGAAATAGTTTAAAGCAAAAGGGCCTTACTTAGTTCTATTAGCTTTTTTATGGAGGTGTCAATACCATCCACAAGGGTCATGCCCCTATCCTTGACCAGCCTTGGGTTGGCAATTAAACTTCAAGATAGATCTTGGAAGGAACACATATAAAACACAGCACTTTCCTCTGCCCCATCTTTTCCATTAAGTCAATCCTATTCCTCCCAACAGATCACCTCATCTTGCACAGAGAATACATTTGACTACAGTGTTTGGTTCACTCATGAGCAACTATGTATGCTGAAGACATGCTAGTTAGCAAAACAATCCCTGCTCTCGGAAACTAAGGTCCACTGTAGTAGCAGGTGTTCTTGGTCCCAAGTCCAGAGCACAAGTATAAGAAACTACAATTTTGTTAGTCTTATAGTTTTGAACTTATAAACACAAAATTCAACATAAGGTTGGGAATCAGCATTACCTAAGCACAAAACGGTGTGTGTGTGTGTGTGTGTGTGTGTGTGTGTGTGTGTGTGTGTGTGTGTGTCCAATAAAGAGGGCCCCTAATCTAGACTTCAAACTTCATCCTCTGCATGCTAGGCAAATACTCTGTTGCTAAATAAGTTACATTATAAAAAAACAAAAACTACCTTGCCACCCCAAGGTGATTTAAAAACCAAATAGCCGATAATATTGATGAGTGAATTTCCTACATTAAATAATATGTAACTCCCATTTAAATAAATGTCTTAGTGGCCACAATCTTGTGTTGCTTCCATACTTATTCATCCCTGATGTTTCCTTTTCTTTAGTTTTTGATGTTATAACATAATTAGATTATTTCTCCCTTCCCTCCCTCCAATCCCTCCTGTATGCCCCTCCTTGCTCTTCTTCGATTTTTATACACATAATTCTTTATTGATTCCCATTCTCCTCCCACTCCCTCCATATCAGTCCCTCACCCTTGCAGCACCCCTCAAAAAACCACCAAAATTAATTTAAAACAAAACAAACAAAACAGAACCACTTCTTCTCTGTGTTTCCCACTTCTCCAACACCTCTTTATTCTTCCTAGTGGCATTGGGAGCTGTAGTGTGTCACACAGTATACCCTTTGTCCAATCAGCCCACAAACGTTCATTGCAATGAGCCACCCCCTCTTCTATGATGTTCCCAAAGCCTTAGGTGTGGGTGGCTTTTCTATTTGTTGTAAAGAAGTTTCCTTGGTGAGGGGTGAGGACTACCCTCATCTATGGATGTAATGTGACAAGTGTTTAGAATGTGGTTAGGAATTGTGCCAGTTATTCAAGATGTGGTGGTGGTTTCTCCTCCAAGATCCATGACTTCACTTGCCCTGGGCAATTGGTTGGGTTTCAGCACCAGGCTTTGACCTCCTGTTGAGTGAGTCATAAGTCCGATAAGAGAGCTGTTAGTTACCACCCAGGTATGCAGGCCAGTGCTACACGCTTAGGGTTATGATGTCATGGTGATTGTTATTGTGGTTCATAGGCATCATAGCTAGGTAGGACTGTTGGTGGCTTTTCTCCTTTGGAAGCTTATATGGCACCTTCTGGTACCATGAAAGTTAATCCTTAGGAGTCATTCAGCTCAGATCCAGCATAGGGCCTGTTATGCTCTGTGTCTGAAATAGATGGGACTTAACTTCCTTCACTTGGGAGCAACTATGGTATATTTTTGGGAAGACTCTTGGACAACCCTGACCAACAACTCAAAAGAGGACTTCTAGTGCCTGGTATGAGAGATTTGATTAGGTGGTCTTTGATCTTGGAGGGAGCATTATCAACACAGATGAAAATTAAATTACATACATTATACGTTCTATTTTAGATATATGATTCCTTATGACTTTTCCATACATTTACTGTTCTTTTTTTCCTCCTTCTTTTGTATTTACCTCCCCCTCTATAATTAGAGCCCTCTTTTTCTCATTTCCCTATTTCTCTTTCTATCAATCCCCCACTCCCTTCCTCAGCAATGGTCCCTTTTTACTTTCCTTGTTTCTGCAGTTACTCTAGGATATATGCACATACATGATGACCAATTAACCATCTAAGCAACATAGAGAGGCTACCTTAAATGCCCTCTCCTGATAATGAGATTGATGACTAACTTATATGCCACTCTAGAGCCTTCATCCAGCAGCTGATGGAAGCAGAAACAGATACCAACAGCTAAACACTGACAGAACTGGAATCCAGTTGCAGAGAAGGAGGACTGATGAGCAAGGTAGAAAAGACCAGGCTGGTGAAACCCACAGAAACAGCTGACCTGAACAAGTGGGAGCTCTTGGCCCCCAGACTGATCACTGGGAAAGCAGCATGGAACTGACCCAGACCCCATGAATGTGGGTGTCAGTGAGGAGGCCTCGGAAATCTATGGGGCCTTTTGTTGTAGATCACTACTTATCCCTAGCATAGGAATGGACTTTGAGAGCCCATTTCACATAGAGGGATACTCCCTCAGCCTAGACACACCGCGGGGGGGGGGGGAGACGCTAGGCCCTATCCCAAAGGATATGACAGACTCTGAAGACCCCCCCATGGAAGACCTCACTCTTCCTGGGGAGGAGAAATGGTATGGGATAGGTAGGGGGTTAGTCGGGGGCAGGGGAGAAGGGAAGGGAGAGGGAACTGGGATTGACATGTAAAACAATCTTGTTTCTAATTTAAATAAAAAATGAAGGAAAAAATAGCACAAAACATGCAACAAGTGGACTTTTAAGTTTTATAGTCCTACAAAGCATTGCTACATTGGTGCATCTAGTCACTATTGTTGCTATAATAAATTTACTGTTTTCCAGTTCTGTAGGCCAGATTCAATGAGTTACTTTGTTTCACAGGCCAAAAACACTCAACAAAGCTCAAGGTTAAAGTTAAGGTACTAACAGGGACCCACTCCTTTCCAGAAGGTGAAAGACAGAATGTTTCTTTCCTAGTATTCCCTAGCTGTGGAGTTCTCACTTGGCATCTTCCAGACCTTTCATAGTCTTTTTCTGGCTAATGCTCCTTTCTTTTTAAAGATCCCAATGATTAGTCTGGGCACATCCTGACAACCCAAAGTTAACTGTCCATCTCAAGATCTATGCTGAGAATTACATCCACAAAATCCCTTCTTCCATGTTCAATCCCATATTCACAGGTTCCAAGGATTAGGACTAGACATATGCAAAAGGCTACCACTCTGC